TTATATTCACGTCCAAATCTTTTACTATAATTTTTTTATTTATTTATCATTACAACTACAGCAGAAAAGACTTACATTAAACTTCGCTAGTAATTTTTTTTTTTGATTTAGTACGATTATTTTTTAAAAATCATTATTCATCATCATTTAAAATTCATAACAAAATAATTTGCATACCATCTTTAGAAAAAAACCACGACTTATCATATCTCAATAGGCGCGGCGCGTCCGTGCATTTATCAGATGCTGATAGCGGTACCTTTTTTTGCAGCTCAAACGCGTAACATGTTCGAATCAATTCTCTATGCTGTTACCAGTGTTTGTGTAGAATTTTCGTGAGCTCTCATACTCACTTCAATATTTTATCTAATCACAACAGTCATTGTGCTAATCAAAGGTGCAAAGCAAAAATTCAGAAAAAAAATATATATATATTACCGCTAAAAGGAATAAAGTTTGTAACATAAATAATAATAATAATAAAGAAACGAAAAATAATCAGCCGGCTCGCAGATAAAATACTATATGTGCTTTTAAGAACGTAAAAATACAAAAAAATGATGATTTTGCTACTTGAGGCACCTTAATCACAAGAACTTGCAATCAGTTCGATCCGAGAGGTGAACGAGTGGATGCGACGGTTTGGCTAACGTATATACCCGTGAACTCACACCTACTATATTCTTGCATTATTTATTTAAATTTGTTAAAAGTGTTGGAAGAGATCAAAAAAATATAACCAAAATTATTATTGTGGTTGAAAAAAATCGTATATAAACTTAAAAACTGAGGCAATAACAGTGCAAATATAATAAAACAAAATGGCAAGGTATTTCACACATAATAAAAAATATTTAATATATTGTATGTTTATGCTTAAATATGTCTAATTAACCCAAAAATATTTCGGCATAACAGTCTTATTCCTGTGAGTGAGAGTGATTTAATAATGAACCAAAGAGAGTCGATGTCAGTTGGTTTGGTTAGGGAAGGTAATGAAGATATCCAGCATGTGGTGTTTCTGGCATTCATTTAATATATGTATAAGAAGGAAGCCAGCTCGAGATCGTCGTATGCAATGGCTGGAGCTTGAACTCATACCACGTCATTCGAAGAAGGTGTTCGTCCGACTCTCTTTGATTAATTTTCAGAGCATTTTTATTCAGCTTTTGCGATCTTCGGTAGTGAGAGTGGTGACTTATCGCATCCCTGCATGGTAAAAGACTGGTTGTTGTCTAAAAGTACTTTACATTTTTGAACTAACTAGTCATACGAACTGAAAATTGTCCGATTATGCCTCAGCTTCATACCTGTTAAATATGCCCTTCCCTATGCTCACGATAGCTCTTGCAGCATGTATTTAAAGGGGACATAGTTTTTAGTTTCGAAGTTGAACAATTCTTTAGTTACTTTAAATTCAGATCGCCTCTATAAGCTTCTTTTGCCGTGGTAGTCAGTTCTCTTCTGCGAAAATTAGTCCAAAACGTTGTTCACATAGACACTCAATTAGTTAATTGAACCAGTTCAACAACTAAGTTTTAAGTTAGAAAATTTTTTAGTTGTTTCAAGCTAAGATCGTCGCTATAAGCTTCTTTTGACATGGGAGTCGGTTCTCTTCTGTAAAAAATTATCTTAAACGTTGTTCACATAGACACTCAATTAGTTAATTGAACTAGTTCAAAAACTAAGTTTTAAGTTAAAAAAGTTATTAGTTGTTTCAAGCTAAGCTCGTCGCTATAAGCATCTTTTGACATAGGAGTCGGTTCTCTTCTGTAAAAAATTATCTAAAACGTTGTTCACATAGACACTCAATTAGTTAATTGAACCAGTTCAACAACTAAGTCTTAAGTTACAAAATTTTTTAGTTGTTTCAAGCTAAGATCGACGCTATAAGCTTCTTTTGACATAGGAGATGGTTCTCTTCTGTAAAAATGATCTAAAACGTTGTTCACATAAACACTCAATTAGTTAATTGAACCAGTTCAACAACTAAACATTAAGTTTTAAGTTAAAAAAATGTTTAGTTGTTGCAAGCTAAGATCGCCCCTACGGGGAGTCAGTTCTCTTCTGCGAAAATTAGTCCAAAACGTTGTTCACACAGACACTCAATTAGTTATTTGAGCGAATTGTAACAACTAAGTTTCAAGTTAGCAATATTTTAGTTGTTTCAAGCTAAGATTGTTGCTTTGAGCTGCCGTTGTCGTGGGAGTTCGGTTCTGGACTGGACTTTGTTTCATTATTTCCTGGCCAAAGCTCCTTATTCCTTTTGAGCTCAGTACAATTATATTACGAAATTCAGTCAAATAATAATAAAAGAAAATATTAATTGTACATAATTATCCCACTCAACAAAAACTGCCACTTCAAAGCAGAAATTCACCTTCAGTTCTAACGATTGGCATTGAAAACGGCTGATTGACAGCTTAAATAATTATTTATCAAGCAGCCACTGCTAATGATTATGAATAACAACAACAAAAAAGAGTTCACACTCGTTTTTAAAATTAAAAAGAAATATATATAAAAAATAGTTAAAACAAAGATGGTAAATACTTGAAACGTCTAAGGATCGGATTTAAATTTTTAAAAACTCTTTAAAAATACTTAAATCATTTTTTCTACTTTCGAAAATTCTTAAACAAATTAAATAGTTTTACATTTAAGTGTTGATTTATGACTTCCTAAATCATTTGGCTTATAAGCACAAAGTCCAATTGTTTGTAGTTTGCTATTTTTTAGGAAATTCCTAAACCACTTTACTGTTATTTTAGTTAAACTCAATACTTTTTTTCTTCTAGAAACAATATCGTTTGTGCTTATTGAATTTATGACCATTGATTATCGACAACAGTTATTTATTAGCCAAATTCGATTTTGCTATTTTTTATGGATGTAGCTTGTTATCGGCTAAGCTTTGCGTTAGAAACAAACATAAAATAAAATTAAAAATTAAAAATAAAAATATATGGAGCTTAAATTATTGCTAGATGTTGGTTAGTTTTTAATTACCAATCGGTAATCCATGTTAAGGTAATCTTCGTTAACATAAATGTTGATAATAAATATTCTACAATATCTAATTACTAAATTACTTCTGATAATGTGAAGTTTAAACCATTAAAAGCATCCAAAGGTTTAGGTTAATTCAAGCTAACTCACGTCGCATGAAATGATAGACTGAATTTCGTTCTAATTTTTTTGATAAAAATATTTCCATAATATTTTAGCATTTCATATCTGAGCCCAAATTGCCTTTAAAAACTTCGATCCATTAGGTAAAGCAAAGCAAATCACTTGCCTTCATATTAACTCATATTTAAAGTGCGTACAATTGGCTATGGCAATTAAGTCTTAAATTGCGTTCACATATATGAAATTAAATTGAATAAAATTTGTGTTGGAGAACTACTTTGGACATTTGTTTATGTTTTTTTTGAAAAATTTCGTCTGAAGAAAATTCTAAATTTAAGAAAGATGTCGTTGTGGAGCATAATAAGAATATTGAACATTCCACTTTGGGCAAAAGAACCGAGAATTTTTTTATAAATCAAAAGAACTTCATTTTTTCCTCCTAATCAATTACAGCCGCTTCAAAATAATCCACTCTTGATATAATGTACTTACAGCACGGGTTCCTCAAAACCTCAATGCATACCGAAAAGCTGAAATCTTCGGAACGCATGTTGAACGATGTCCTCGTTGTAGTCTTTTGAGTGTGGAAAATAGCCAGAAGTGCCACGGAGTTAAGACAGGCGAATTTTTGGTGGAATGATCTTGCTGTTTCTCCATGAAATTAAGCGTTGTTGGCACCAATCGCGATTTCACTTTTCTGAGGTCGTGGACTATCAAGTCAACGAGCACCATCACTTGATGTTACCGTGCGACGTCTTCAAAGCTTTCTCGACCCTCTTTCAATATTTTGTACTCCTCATAAATTCTGGTTTTCGATAGATAGAACTTGCGATTCAACAAATAAGTGTTTTAACTTAAAAATTAGTTTCAATTAACTAATTGAGTGTCTGTGTGAACAACTTTTAAGACTATTTTTACAGAACAGAACTGTCTACTACAACATAAGAAGCTCATAACTTAAAAATTAGTTTTTGAAAGTCGCTCAATTAACTAATTGAGTGTCTGTGTGAACAACCTTTAAGACTGTTTTTACAGAAGAGAACTGTCTACCACAACAAAGGAAGCTCATAGTGGCAATCTTAAGATGAAACAACTAAAAAATTATTGAACTCAGAAAGGAAAACTTTTAATATCAATAAAACATATTGATGCTTCTTTTTCGCGATTTCATAATTAACAGATCTACATCTATATCTATATAATAGAGGATATCCATATACAGTCTTGATTTTCTTTTTCATTTATGAATCCATTTTTTTGCAATTACGTGTTTAATTATTGGAATTTGCTCAATTAGCTTATTGAGTTCCTGTATGAACAGCGTTTTAAATCAATTTTCATAGAAGAGCAATCACTTTTACTTCAAAGTTTATAAGAAAATTTTATTTTTAACAGCTAATAAATTAATTTACTGACAATTTATTAATATTTATATTTCATTTTTTATTTTTTTTTTTTAATATTTTCTTAATTAAAATTGTTTCATGCATCTTCTCTCCAATACAATTAGCAAGAAAGTAACTTTCAGCAAGTTTTAATTGTTTTGCAACAAACGGTTTAAAGTATATTTAACGCAATTAGCTAATTGAGCGCCCATGTGAACAGACCTTTGAAATATTCTTTGAAAGAAAAGGTCTGAATTCTCAAAATTCATCAACAAACCAGACCTTTTGTGCAATTAAATATTTTAAACAAAAATTTGATTTACCAAGTTATTTAAAAAAAATACTCCTGTCTTCAAATTAATTGCTTTAATGCTTTTTCTTTTGAAATCCATAATATTTATCAATATTTTTAATTTTCTCCTTGAGGTTTTTATTATTTTCTCACATGTTTCATCTTTTTTTTTGTTTTTTATTTGTTTTCAGCGAGACTGACATAAAACCCAGAATGGAGCGTGGTTTGCAAGATCGCGATCGCGTGGGCGTACAAGATTTTGTGCTGCTTGAGAATATACAAAGTGAAGAGGAATTCATTGGAAATTTACGCAAACGTTTCCAAGAGAATCTAATCTATGTAAGTGAACAAATACTAATTGCAAATTAAAATAATATTTGTCTAACAATCGATAAAAAGTTGATATTTTAAGTGCTCCTACCTAAATATGGAAAAATTATTAATATATAAGTAAATTCGGTATTAATGGTATTAGTAGAAAATTTCAAACATATCAACAAAGTTGTTGAATAAAAAATACTTATTTTTTGCTTTTCATAATTTTTTTTATTTAAATTTTTTTTTTTTTTTTCAAAATTTATTTATTTTAATATGAGAATAATATTTGCACTTGAAGCTTACTAACAAGTTCATGTAATTATATTATGTTTTAAACTTAATTAATGTATATTTTTATTTATCTTTTTTTCAGACTTATATCGGTCAAGTACTTATATCAGTTAACCCTTATAAGCAACTACCAATCTACAGTGAAAATGATATTAAGGAGTACAGAAATAAGCACTTCTATGAAATGCCACCACACATGTAAGTGGGTCATACATACATATTTTATTTATTTTTATCACCTTCGAGTATTTATGTTATCACAGAATTGGTAATACACATAATTGGGTATCGTAAAATACAAGTACATAACATTGAAAAAGAAAAAAATATTGAAATCTTATCGTCGTCGGTGATTTTTCGACAACAAATTTTCAAAAAATAGTCTGCAAAACCTTGAAATAATTTATAAAAAACACTAACTGTTACTTTTTAGTAAATTTTAAATTTTAATATTTTTCATTGGTTTTTAATATTTAAAAAAAAAAAATAAAATAGAAAGCTGTAATATTACTAATATTAGGACAAGTAACAAGTCAACCATTATTTTTGCAAGATATGGCTTTAGTGATCTGTAACTCGCCTTCTAAAGGGTGATTTTTTAGCTATAGTCTTTTTGGCAACACTGGTTTAAACAGCTGACGCACGTTTCGTGTTTTGTATCACCGTCAAACATCTTCAATTTGGTCAATAATTCTATAATCCATGAATCGTCTTACAAACGAGCAACGCTTGCAAATTATTGAATTTTATTATCAAAATGCGTGTTCTGTTAAGAAAGTTCCCCGCCCGCTTCGAAGCCCATTTTCGGCTGAAGGGTGTGTAAATAAGCAGTATTGTCGATTTTGAACTGAAGATTAGCCAAAAGCATTGCAAGAGCTGCCAATGCATCCAGAAAAAGTCGCAGTTTGGTGCGGTTTGTGGGCTGGTGGCATCATTGGGCCGTACTTCTTCAAAGTTGATGCGAATCGTAACGTAACTGTGAATGGTGTGCGCTACCGTTAGATGATATCAAACTTTATTCTACCCAAAATGCAAAAGAACGACCTGCTTAACATGTGGTTTCAACAAGACGTGGCCACATGCCACACAACACGCGTAACAATGGACTTATTGAGAGGCAATTTCGGTGAACATTTTATTTTACGTTCGGGACCGGTTAATTGGCCGCCTAGATCGTACTATTTAAGGCCTTTTGACAATTTTTTATGGGGCTATGTTAAATCTAATGCCCATACAGACAGTCTCGCTTCAATTGACGCATTGGAGGACTACATTGAAGCATTTATTCGTGAGATATCAGCCGAAATGTTGGATAGAATATGCCAAAATTGGACTATGCGCATGGACCGTTTGAGACGCAGTCATGGTAAACATTTGCCTGAAATAATCTTTAAACATTAAATTATATGGACCGTACTGTAATAGCGATTCAAATGAAGATTTCCTGCATTTTTCAGAATTTTATGAGTTTTTTTTTTTTGAATTTTCTATAGCTCTTCAAAAATCACCCTTTCTAAGTGCGATTAGAAAATACAACGAGAGAAGTGTTGATCGTTCAGATAGTTTGAGCGTCATTCGAGCACTGTGCGGATTGACTATAAGCTAAAAATTGTACAAAAAAACAATTTGGAACCACACTGATGGCTAGATATATGGGTGTAAGATATGAGTTAAAGAGAAAAAACTCATGGACCGAATTTCCATCTGCGAATTGCTGCTGTATCTTAACAAAATCGACCCATCTCTGCAGCGTATTTTGCCTGGTGATGAAAAATAGATCACATACTGCAATGTCAAACGAAAATGGTCGTGGTTGAAGGGCAGTGAGCCAGCATAAACGGTCTTCAAGCCAATATTGATGTTTCCTTATATATTTGGTGAGATTGGCAAGGAATCATCCAATCCCTTTATTCGGACCTTTACGATTAGCAATTGAACCGTCTGAAGAAAGCAATCGCCCATATCCGATCCGCTTTGGTCAACAGAAGGGAAATTTTGTTTTGTTGTTGGGACAACGTCAGACCTCACACCTCGATAGTGACTCGCCAGAAGTTATGACAACTTGCTTGGGAGATTCTTATGCATCCAACTTATAGTCCTGACCTTAACCAAGTGATTGCCATCTGTTTCTGTGTATGGCGAATGATTTGCCAGGTCAAGAATTTAACTCAGGAGGAGCATGTGAAAATCGGTTGTCCCAATTTTTCGCCAATACTGTGTCTGTGAGAGAGGCAAAATGGTGAAATTTATTGAGAAAAATCGTGCGTATTAGACCTAAATCGGGTAATTCTGACTATGAAGTAAATGAAGCCTTAAACTTAATGCAAAAATAATAATTGGCTTGTTACGCTATTATTTATATTTCAAATTTCATAATATAAGTTTTAAATTTTTTTAAATATTTTTTTTTTTTTTTGATAATTTCCTTTACTAATGATTTTAATATATTTTATATTAATTTTCAAATAGTTTTGCTGTGACGGATAATGCTTTTCGTTCATTAATTGAGGAGAATAAAGGTCAATGTGTGCTAATTTCTGGTAAGTAAATTTAAATATTGTAATATTTTTTAGATATGTAATGATTGAGTAAAAATATAGAAACAATTGAACTTCTTTTCTCGGGTCTTTTCCGTCAATCGGTTTGTTGACGGTAAGCTTTACTCTTTTGCACTATATGCTCGTTAGGATATTATATGGGATATTGAGAAGGTTTATGTGGATTGGGCAGACCACATTTGGGTTCAAATCGTTAGACATGCTTTCGCTAGACCATGTATTGCAAAGAAGCTGATGCCAATAGCTCGGCCGGCAATCCATCCGCAACCACCACTTTGTTGTTTCTCAAGATGATGACGATTACTATTCGAATTTCTTCATAGTCTGTGTAATGGAGCATCTGTTCCAACGTCATCGGTTGCAGTATCGGGTTTGCCATCTTCCACTGTCCCATTTTTACTGTCATTCAGTAGGGTCGAAAATTGGTTCTTTTCTAAATTCAGTATAGTTTGGAGAACCGTCACAAGCTCACCTCCGAAAAGAGTTTGCCTCGATCTTGAAATCTACTATAAATCGTATTATTTTACGTAAAATGTTCGAGCAGTACGCTTGTCGGCCATCTTCTCAAGCTCTTCATACTTACGCATCTCTTTTGTTGTCTGCACATGTATCTTGCCGCCCTACTCATCGTACCACATACATATGTACATTTGAATTCCTTCAGAGAAAAATGAATGTAATTCATGTGAAGAAAACATTCAATAAGTTGCTCATACGCCCCTGCTAACCATTTTTCATATGTCTATAACAGAGAGAGGCGGCCGCCGCAGTCGGTTGGTTAGTGTTGTGTACTATCATTTTGAAGGCCGGGTTAGTCGCTTAGTTCGACCAACATCCAAAAGTTATAGAAAATTAATTTAAATAAAAAAATTAAGTTAAATTTTCTAGTTGCGGTCGCACCTCGGCAAAGAATGTCAACCTCTCCGAGTGTATTTCCGACATGAAATAAAAGCTCCTCATAAATATTCATTGACCGTTCGGAGTCGGTTAGGTCCCTCCATTTGTTGGGAAAACAACATTATATATCACAAAGAAAGTAGTTGTGAGCTTTATAAGAACAAAAATATTTAAAGTGATGTCTACATTCTCCTAATTTGGACTCAAAATTACAAGAGAGAGCGCTAGAGTCGTGCTTTTCAGATATATTTACTTATTATCTCATTTAAAAATTTACTTATTACTTATATTTCATTTAAAATTCAATACACCTATTTCCTGTCAAAAACCCATCCACTTATCTATCAGCGAATTTGCCTTAAAAAAACATTTGTTTCCCGAACAACTAATAAAATTATAAAGATAAGATTTGAACGTGTCAAGTTTTTATATTGAGTAAAGATTAGATTGAGTTTAGACCTCTTCTCAGCAAATACCTCTAACCAATAGAAATACAATTACAATTCAAGTCGATATGTTCCAACATTCCATCCATTTAACATTTCTACATATACACGTACATAAGTATAAGAATGTACTATGAGATCTGATTACAATGCTTATCATGCGGGAATTTTGTTTTAGTGTCGAGTACTGAAAAAAGTTCAGCTAGAGAACAAAAATTCTTCAGCTGATTTTAAAAAGTAATATTTTTTTCATTTATTTTGGAATGAATTGAACAGGTACAAAGTACATAAGCATTGGAACTTGTAGGCCACACCATAGCTCCCGGCCGCCAGATAGTACGCTCATCGAAAAATGCCTTCAATCTCTTGTTTGTTCCGTTATATGACATATAGAGTCGGCTCATTGAGACCAAAGGTCGTTCACATCAGCACCCTACACAATTCAGGCACGAAAAAGTCATTAATCAAGGCTCTATAGTGTTCCCCAATGACTGTTAAAATATAAATATGAACCAATGATTCAAACTTTCCATAAAGCACATCAAACAGTGTCGTGCTGGGTTTGCAAACTGGTGAGGAAGATTACTCTCTACCGAAATCACATAAAACTTGGTTACGCTACTATCCATCACTTTGTTAAACCAACTCCTCCAGCTGATGGTTGGACTTCAAGATATCAAGTTATGAGTATGTTTTTCGGGAAACCATTCTAACCTTCTATGCTGGCACTTGAAAATTCAGCCAATTGAACAGAGAAACATATACATTTGGTGGGCTCGCAGTCTGAGATCAACATTTTTGCTATCAAAAATGGTCGAGTAAAAGATGGAAAATTTTTTCTTGCTTCCTCTAGCTTCTGAAGCGACTTCTAAAAGGAGCTTCCAGTCGTTCAGCATATCTTCCTGACGCTGTTATGTACTCCCTTCTAAAAGTAGTACATTGCAATCTTCTCACTCAAACCTCTTCCGATCCCACTTCAGCCAAATTTGCCTCGATTTATTGTACAATAGGTTCAAGTGTGAGTCTGATCATACGTAGATTTTTCATGTGGCATACCATTGCATTCTGTATGGGAAAGAATCTGCTTAATCGTACCTTGCCTAACAAGTTCGTCTATCTGAGGGAAAACTCTATGTCCCTGTTGACAAAAGCAGCTGGTTTGTTTTGCCATCTCCTGTAAAAATCAGCTCCGTTGTAATCTGTTGAAAGAGAGCTCAAAAGAAAGTACAACACCATAATCAAATCTGTCATCGACCCTCGAACCATTCGTTACTCTTGTAGTTCTAATGACGAGTCCTCCAGCCCTAAGATATCATCTCCAAAAAATAAGTAAGATGGAATCGGAAAAGTGAAGAGCAGGCACGGAAGATAATGAAATGCTGAAGTCGTCAAATCTTTTAAGTAGTCCCTTCGGACAGTCTTAAAAGTAAGTGAGATGGTCGCGAAAACATAGTTGAGGCAGACCAGAGAATATAAGGAGCCTATTTGTGGCTGAAGGCTGACTGTTGTCATATCCATAAACCCTTGCTTTAACCAAAGAGGTACAAAAAAGGGGGAAAAACTTTTTCACACCTATCATTCTATGCGTTATACCAAAAGCTCTGTGGATTGTCAGGAACTAGGCAAATATTTTTTTTTTTTTCAAGTTAAAAAAGGCTCGTGGAATATCGATTTCCCAAGTCGACTGAAACAGATCTTATATCTAGCGGTTTCTATGCTTGTCTAGTCGGGGCTTCAGCACGCCAGCTAGTAATATGTGCTAATACAGACAAATATAAGTATGTAGATCACCGCTCATAGCCGACCCTTGAATTCCTTTATGATACACGCTTTCCTAATTCTTTTCATTCCCCCATTTCAGGCGAGAGTGGTTCTGGCAAAACGGAAGCCTCCAAGAAGGTTTTACAATACATAGCCGCCTGCTCCGGTCACCAGTCCACCGTCGAGAGTGTAAAGGAAAAATTACTCAAGAGTAATCCGGTGTTGGAGGCTTTCGGCAATGCGAAAACTAATCGTAATGTCAACTCTTCACGTTTCGGCAAATATATGGATATACAATTCGATTTTACCGGCACACCAATCGGCGGCCATATCCTAAATTACTTGTTGGAGAAGTCACGTGTGGTTAATCAAAATGCTGGCGAACGTAATTTCCACATTTTCTATCAGCTCTTGGCCGGCGCTAGTGATGAGCAATTGAGAGAGTTGCAGTTGACGCGCGCGTTGGATAAATACAGTTATCTAAGTGATGGGGTAGGTGTAAGCATAACTTCAGTTTTATAATGATTTTTTAACGGTCTTGCTATATTTTCCAACATTACAGCAAAATGGCGCTGTGCGTGGCATAGACGATGCGGGCGACTTCAAGGCCGTACAACAGGCCATGAGTGTGATCGATTTCAAGCAATCGGAGCAAAGCGACATATTCAGTATTATTGCAAGTGTTTTGCATTTGGGTAATGTGAGTTTCGCTGAAGTGGAAGGTGTCGCTAAGGTCGAGAAGGCGGCAGCTGTTGCTAGCGTGGCTAAATTATTGGGTGTGAGTGAGAATGAGTTGAATGCCGCGCTCACTAATCGCACCATCGATGCACGTGGCGATGTGGTCACTTCGCCATTGAATCGTGACTTGGCAATTTATGCACGTGATGCGCTAGCGAAGGCTATTTACGATCGGTTATTCACCTGGTTGGTGCAGCGTTTGAACAAATCGCTGGTGGCTAAAGATTTACGTAGCGCCATCAACAATGTCATGGGCATTTTGGATATTTATGGTTTTGAGATTTTCAAAAAGAACAGTTTCGAACAGTTTTGTATAAATTTCTGTAACGAAAAGCTACAACAATTATTCATTGAACTTACGCTCAAATCGGAGCAGGATGAATATCGTCGTGAGGGCATCGAATGGGTGCCGGTGGAATACTTTGACAACAAAGTCATTTGCAATTTAATTGAAGAAAAATACCGTGGCATAATATCAATACTCGATGAAGAGTGTCTGCGTCCAGGCGAACCCACCGATATCACCTTCCTGGCGAAACTCACCGATCAACTTGCGAAGCATCCACACTATATTTGTCACGAGAAGTCTTCCACACAAGTACAAAAGACAATGGGTCGCGATGAATTCCGCTTGGTGCACTATGCCGGCGATGTGACATACAATGTTAATGGTTTCTTGGATAAAAATAACGATTTATTGTTCCGTGATCTGAAGGAGACCATGAGTAAGGCAAGTAATGAGATTATACGTTCTTGCTTCCCGGAGGGCGAGTATAAGAATAAGAAACGTCCCGATACCGCCATTACGCAATTCAGAAATTCACTAAACAATCTCATGGACATCCTCATGTGCAAGGAACCGTCCTATATACGTTGCATCAAACCGAATGACCAGCAACAGCCGGGTATTTTCGATGATGAATTGGTGTTGCATCAAGTGAAGTATTTGGGTTTGATGGAGAATTTGCGTGTACGTCGCGCTGGTTTTGCTTACCGCAGGTAAGTTTAAAAATTTTTTTTTATTCTTAAGCACAAATTGCTTGTATTTCCCGCAGGAGTTAGCGGTCTGAAATTCTCCACCTGTTTATGTAGGGGAAAGAATGTCAGTGAGAGCCCACCTTACCTTCTTGCAGCCATTTATCTTACTAAATCTTCTCAGTTTCCTGGGATCATCGGATTCTACTGCACTTTCGCCTCAAATTCTAAGAAATAGAAACATGTTTTTCCTCGACGCATCTCAGTTTCAAAAAGCTCTTTGTATTTTTCGGCTTAATTAACACATCCAAGATCTTATATCTTTTCGGCTTTTCGAAATCATTCAGCTTTCCACTCTCTTGCTTTAAGTTATGGATCGACCATGCTGGTTAACGAGAATTCTTCCTCTAAATTGGCGTAACGAAATCAACGACAGTGCGTCAATCGTTTCCCTCTTCACATTGGCACCAATATCAAAACCCAAGTGAAACTACTCCACATGATATCCTCAACGAAGTGGTGGTGTTTGTCTTTTCTAATTCTCGCCTGCGTAAACTATAAGAAAGACCTACAGCTGAAGTGTGTGAAGTCATGTGTAGAAGTTTACGCAAGTGAGGAAAGTTTTTGACTGCCAGAAACGACTCTTTTGCATATGGCTCAAGCAGCTCAGGGCTTCCGGTCTCAGACCACGTATCCCCTGGGTAGCCAGGAAACTTCCGTTTGGAGGCGAGCTAAAGTGAGACGGTGAATCTCAATTGTCCGACCTTTGCTGCAAGGAAGCTGATGTAATCCCTATTCGAACGTCAGCATAGTCGGCAGACGGAACATCTGTTCATATATTGTCAGCTATTGAGAAGGGCTTAACTCTTCCCGGTGTCGCAGGCTGGAGAAGTGCTCCCTTTACAAACTCAGTAACCTTAGTAGCCTTAGAGCAAATCCTTAACTCCTGTATGAGTATGAGATAGGCTATTTAGAGAATTAATTATTTATTTATACTCCCTTTTTATAACCATTTTATAAATTTTCGAAATTTTTACCTCTACTCTTTCCGCAGAACTTACGAGACCTTCCTAAATCGCTACAAATCTCTTAGCAAATCCACCTGGCCGAGCTTTAAGGGCCCCGCCAAGGAAGGCGTACGCATACTTGCCAACGATCTACACTTCGGACCCGAAGATTTCCGTTTGGGTGAGACGAAAATCTTTATACGCTTCCCCCGAACTCTATTCGATACCGAAGACGCCTTCCAAGCAAAGAAACATGACATTGCTGCCATAATACAGTCACGTTGGAAGGGTTACGTACAACGTCGGAAATACCTTAAATTACGTGAACAAATCATCATCTTACAATCATATTGCCGCCGCCATTTGGCCATACAAGCATTGCAGCGACGTCGTGAAGCCGCCACTAAGATACGTGCCTTCATTAAGGGCTTCATTACACGCAACGACCCACCGAATGGTTATAATGAAGAATTCATAGCGAACATGAAACGCATGTGGCTAATGCGTCTGGCCAAGCAGCTGCCCACCAAGGTGCTAGATAAAAGTTGGCCCCCAGCACCGGTGCACTGTCAGGAGGCATCCACATATTTGCATCGCCTGCATCGTCTACATTTGGCGCGCAAATATCGTCTGAGCTTATCCAGCGAACGCAAGCGACAGTTTGAGTTGAAGGTGCTAGCTGAGAAACTGTTCAAGGACAAGAAGGCCAATTATTTGGCTAGTGTGCCATATTGGTTCCAAAACGATCGTATACCGCAGGAGCATGCTGCAGAAATCAATAGCTTTGTTAGTACTTCTTTGAATGGCGAAAACTTGAAATATGCCTCCCCATGCACGAAATTCGATCGTCACGGTTATAAGCCGCGCGAACGTTTTATGTTGCTGAGCAACAAAGCGCTCTATGTCTTGGACGGTAAGAGCTATAAGCAGAAGCATCGTTTACCGTTGGAAAAAATCGATTTTGTGACCACCAACCACAGTGACAGTCTGCTAGTCATACGCATACCACTCGAGTTGAAGAAGGACAAGGGCGATTTGATACTGGAGATACCACACATCGTTGAGCTGGGCACCTTGGTCGTGGACACTGTGGGCACAGCTAATATATTCAGCATTGTTAGCCGAGATTCGTGAGTATATTTAGTATATACGAGTATGTTATATATGTATCTACATATAAGCAGGTTTGCATATACTCGTGTATAATTAATCTCAAAATTGTATTATGTCATCTTTCAGTTTGGAGCACAATGTGGTTAAAGGCAAGGGCGGCGTTATCGACATTCAAACCGGCGGTCAACCAGGCATTGTACGTGATAAGGGTGGTCATCTTGTTGTTGTGAGTTTTCAAACAAAAACAAAAAAATTATTTATGTGTTTACTTAACCGTTGTACTAATTAATTTTTATTTATTTATTTGCCCTCGTTTCTTTCTTGCAGATTGCTGGACAATAAATATCAGATTAAAGTGCTAACCACCTTTAACAAGAAATCAGGGCTTTAAAGACAACGATGTATTTTATATAGTTTGTTGTATATATATATGTATTAATGTAATTGTTATCTGAAATTTTGCTGCAGTTTCATTCAAGTTTTTGTACAATTTTTTTTTTAACTAAAAAATCTTTAAATGTATTAATGTATGCGAAAAGTATTTACTAAAACTTTATAAATAATTTATTTCGTATAATGTATAAAAGAATCGATGGTATAATATAATTAAAAAAAGTACTAATTCGTTTTTACATGCGTCTCAACATTGTGAGGGAAAATAAGAAAGACGCTGGAGTCTCGGTTGTATGATACCATATATGATATAGTACTTCGATTTCGTTGATTTTCGGTGACAATATTTATTTGTATATACGTATGTTGAATACCAAATTACATAATTTTAGTTCCTTTTTGACGGATTCTTGACCTATAACCTCACATCTGAACAAATCGGTTGTATGGCAGCTATATGATATAGTACCCCGATTTCATTGATTTTCAGTGACAATACTTATTTGTATATCCGTATGTAGAATACCAAATTACATAATTTTAGAGACTTTTTTTGACGAAGTTTTCACCCATAACCTCACATCTGAACAAATCGGTTGTATGGCAGCTACATGATATAGTACTCCGATTTCGTTGATTTCCGGTGACAATATTTACTTGTATATACGTATGTAGAATACCAAATTACATACTTTTAGATGCTTTTTCGACGGAGTTTCGACCCATAACCTCACATCTTAACAAATCGGTTGTATGGCAGCTATATGATATAGTACTCCGATTTCGTTGATATTCAGTGACAATACTTATTTGTATATCCGTATGTAGAATACCAAATTACATGCTTTTAGATACTTTTTTGACGAGTTTTTGACCCATAACCTCAAATGTGAACAAATCGGTTGTATGGCAGCTATATGATATAGTACTCCGATTTCGTTGATTTTCTGGGACAATATTTACTTGTATATCCGTATGTAGAATACCAAATTACATACTTTTGGATACTTTTTTGACGAGTTTTTGACCCATAACCTCACATATGAACAAATCGGTTGTATGGCAGCTATATGATATAGTACCCCGATTTCATTGATTTTCAGTGACAATATTTATTTGTATATCCGTATGTAGAATACCAAATTACATAATTTTAGTTCCTTTTTTGACGGATTTTTGACCCATAACCTCACATCTCAACAAATCGGTCGTATGGCAGCTATATGATATAGTACCCCGATTTCGTTGATTTTCGGTGACAATATTTATTGGTATATCCGTATGTAGAATACTAAATTACATGCTTTTAGATACTTTTTTGACGAGTTTTTCACCCATAACCTCAAATGTGAACAAATCGGTTGTATGGCAGCTATATGATATAGTACTCCGATTTCGTTGATTTTCGGTGACAATATTTATTTGTATATACGTATGTATGTAGAATACCAAATTACATACTTTTAGATACTTTTTGACGGATTTTTGACCCATAACCTCACATCTGAACAAATCGGTTGTTTGGGAGCAATACGTTTTAGTCGACCGATGGTGATGATATTTTACATCAATTCACCTTTGTGACAAATATATAACAAAAAATCTAAAATTTAAAGAATCAGTATTTTTCCACCATCTATCAAAGAGCGTACGGGTTCCACGTCGAAAAAACGAATGTGATTTGTACAGAGTATGTGGCATTGACCGATAGAGGTAACAATCGGACGGCGCAATTTCTGATTAATGTGGCTGGTGTGGTAATTCTTCCCAATCAAGTGTTTTGAAATAGTTTTTCACTGGAGCCGCTACATGTGGGGTGCTCCCAACGGTGAGCGAGGAATAATTTTATTATCAAGAAAGTAGCCATGCTATGTATGTGTTTGTGTTCTCCAAAAGCAATATGACAATGGCTTGTAATCGTGGTGTTATGGGCTTCTAAATAGTTTAGTTTTGAACGAATCCTTCTCTTGACCAGCCTGTAGAAAACTCCAAAGCAGAAACTCAAAGTTACAGAAACTAGAATATGGCAAGATTCCTCCAAAGATGGCTAAACTACCTCAGAGGATTGCGGGGTAAGGCCAATCTAAACATATGAAAGCCAGAAGTAATGTTTGCAAGTAAGGGGACCTTCGCTGAATCCGTTCCATAATTCAAGTGAGCTGATAATTGGCAGCAAGAGGGACATAGCGGGAAATGTTCCCATTTCTTCCTCTTCATTTACGTTCCGAAAACCACTATGGGTCCGGTTAAGAAGCATACTGTAATGTCATTCAAGCAATATATTTGGTGGGATACTATCGTGGAGATCAGGATGGAAGTACTGGACTACACAGACTCCATTCAACAAAATATATTATGCAGAATCGCTGTACACGACAGTAAGTCAGTGAACACATTCCTCAATTCTCTTACTGTGAATGAAGTCAACGGAACCCGACTTCCACCTAACGCAGACGAAGACCTATTTCGTGATGATTAAATAATACTGGCGCAACTGAATTCTTTATATATTAGTGGACTTATCTGATACCTTTCCAGACTCGACCCAGGTATGCCCATTGTATAAACACCTAGCATAGAATCCTCACACCTCTACGACAACGTCTATCTAATTAGAGTTACCAAGCTGCTACAACAAATTTCATGATTGGACCTCTCCGTCCAAATTTAATTTTCTCTTAATAACTGCAGCTTTAGCGCTGAATAGATGATAGCTCCAAAGAACGTATATTAATTAATATACGTTCTTTGATGATAGCTCCACACAAAAAAATGTTCTCCTTGCTGGTAATATTCTGAAACCCTTGTAATTGAATTTTGCAATCAATTTTTTTGTTTTATTGTGAATACCTCCCCTTATTTTTTGACATTTTTTGTGCACGATTTTTTCTTTGCCGCTATCTGACATTAGCTCCTGACGTTTTTACATAATATTCTTCCTAAAGGGTTCGTGCTAAATTTCTGAAAAATTTCTGATTAGATATAATATTATCCTGTGATATAAAGTTTAATACTTATTATTTATCATTTATAGAGGTCGGAAGCTATAGAGAATGTCATTGACACAAGTTGCTCGTAACTGCAGCCGATTTGCTGTTGCTGCAAATGCACTGCGTGTGACGGCCGCAGTCTCATCTACTGTTCAGCCTCAGTTGAGGATGATGCATAGAATTAGTGTCAACACACCTGCCATGAGCATTTTGTTAAATCAGGTGAGTACGTAAATATATTACTTTGCCAAGCAAAACTATTGTATCTGAATGCCTGGAGTCAATAGGTTTTCTTAACCTCAAAAATATCTTGGATGCTCCCATGATCATTTAAAAAAAACATAAAGTATATATTATTCGAAGAGTTTGAACTACGTAATGATATATAATAGATATTCCAATATAATATAGAAATTAAATGTCGACTCATGTCAAGAATAACAATCGGTGAATGATTAAAGCACAACACAAATAGCTAGTCATATAAAAATACAAATATTTAAAGCAATCTTTTTCCTGTTACGATTTCTTGAAATTATCAAATTACAAACTTTGTTTTACATTTAGCATAATCACGTAAATGTGTGTGCAGTCCGCACATATGCATCAGCTAAACGCGGCTTGGAGGAAATTAAAGACCGTGTTTTAAAAGTAGTTGCTAGCTATGACAAAGTGACTGCTGATAAGGTAATAAAAGCTCTGAAGGAGAAACTAACTAGTTTTTTTTGTTTGTTCTTGTTTTCGGTTCATTAGAACAAATCCAACTGGCAATCACAATCCGTGCGAAACTTTTCTGCTAAGCCGCCACTCACACTTAAATTGATCGGTGAACGTGTCTTGCTCGTACTGAAACTCTATGACAAGATTGACCCCAGCAAGGTAAATAACTTTCGATCAAGCAAGAAAGTAAAATATGTATTATATATGTGTACGCAATCAATTGGTATAAAAAGTAAACAAATTTTCTTAAAATGAATTTTGCATTGCCAGTTTAATTTCAATGAACCGGAAACATATGAGTTCTAATAAACTATTCATATTTATTTCTTCTATAGCTCAGCGTTGACTCGCATTTCATTAATGATCTTGGTCTTGATTCATTGGATCATGTTGAGGTGATTATGGCTATGGAGGATGAGTTCGGTTTTGAAATCCCCGATTCGGATGCCGAAAAACTGTTAAAACCTGCTGACATCATTAAATATGTTGCCGATAAGGAGGACATCTATGATTAAGCCATTAAAATAATTAGTTCTTTCAAGGATAGTAGCTCACACACGTGAAATGTAATTTGTTGAAACACATGAAATGGGTGTAATTTACATTTACTGTTAAACCAAATAAAAAGGGAAAACAAACTAAAACTTAGTAAGAATTTTTAATGTGGAATAATTTTAGATCCAAACATATGACTTGTTATCCAGAATAATAAACATTATATATGCATTTCACTGTTTACATGTGCACAGCTGAAAAATTTCTTCTGAGGTAAAATCGTCTACCAACACTAATAAAATGTTCATTATTGTGAATATACCATATTATCAAGAAGAAGCTTTAATTTAATTTTTTGAACTAGCAGAAATATACCAAAATGAATAAGAAATCAAAATCTTACTTGATTGACGAAATGTTAACGGAGATGGGTAACATAATACTTTGCATACTCTTAATGAAATCATAAATTCAGTATTTAAAATGAATTTTTTCTATGTTAAGCAATTGGTCGACAGTCTATGATCCAGCAATCGAGCACCATATCCGATATCATTGACAAGTCCAACAATATTTTGTTGCAAATCGAATCTAATCGCGCCAATACAAATCAGGCAAACTCAAATGCCAACAGCGCCACACACAAAACATATTCCTGCAAAAAGGAAACAATACAGACACTAGCCAAAATCATTGAGAATGCTCCCCAATTGTTCAGTGCCAATATGCAAACTCTAGCGGCTGGATTGAACCAGAACACAGAACAATTTGAACAGTATCTCGAGCAAAGTCATCAACGTGCAGAATACCTTAGCAGTTGTGTTCGGAAATTGCTAGCTATTGGCGATACTATGACTCAAATCAGAGCTGTAATAAATGAAGAGACTGTGGCCGAGAACAACTCGGAAATATTTGAACCATCGAGTGAGTGACTCTCATGTATATTGGAAAAGAAATGTTTTATAACTTATGCTTAAAATATATTTATATAAAAAACTATTTAAATGTTAGAAACAGTGTTCAATAAGTATGTGATTAAATTCATAAAACTATCGGTTCGGGTTGACTGCGCATTCGTGGCGAGGCCACTAGTAGAAAATATTTCTTGATTTTCACGTATGTAATTTAAATCTTCTAAGCTAGCAAGTATAGACTGCAACTTTTTTTCCTCATCCGAGTTGAAGGCTTGCTCGATGTTATGGGTAGTTGGACGTAATTTTTCCAATTGCTTGCCAAACGCACATAACTGTCCCAGCTTTTCCTCATACACCTTTGTACATTCCTGTTGCTCTGCTTCGCTTAGGAATTGTGCGAGCTTCTGTTGAAACTTCCTAAAATCGTTGTAGATTTCACCAGCTGAAGGCAGTTCAGATAGGCTGCGCGCTATGTTCTGGGCAGAGGTACTGCTGGGTGACTGTTCACGGGAATTGATCATTATGGTCATATCACGTGCCATGGTACAATTCATTCGTTGCTGTTGCTCCTTCGTAGGCAGACGTTTAGGTTTGTGCAAATTACTTGGATACTCATCAAAAGCTTTAAATATATCCGCAAAGTCAGCTACTGCTGGATCGTCTTTGGATGGTGTAATTTCGGAATTGATCTTTTTAACTTCCTCCTGATAACCACCATAGAAGTCTGATAAACTAATTAGAGAAGTTTTAACCCGATTCCCAGTAATATTTTTCTCGTGCTCATTATGATTTTTATAAATATTTTTTGAAATTTCTGTAAAATTTATATCTTTTTGCGACATATTTATGTTTTGATTAAATTTTCAAATTTTTTAATTCGCTCTCTACGCTTTGAAATGGTTCACAATAACGAAATAGTGGGTTTTTAAATTAAATACCAGGGCTGCCAATTTTCTAAAAAAAATAATAAAACGTCTTCGTGGAAAGGCTTTTTTTTTGTGTTTAAAGGTCGTAATAGATAATTTAAAGATATTGCGAAAATTTCGAAATTTTTTGTCTCTCTCTATTATATAAGTAGCATAAGTACCGTATATTTTCAAGGACTTTTTTCTTTTAAATATTCTCAACTCAAGCTTTTAAATTTGTATTTTTGTAATTATATTTTTATTAAATCTATGTAAAAAAAATGATTTTAAAGGTAAATGAAGTTAATACGAATTCATATCAATAATATCTAGCCATATTCTGATTGAATGGTGATTCCAAATTGCCCTTTGTTTGGGATGGAACTGCCATGATACCAAATTCTTGTATCGACCAACACTATAAATAATATTTAATTGTTTTGAAATTATAGAGACGGAATTATATAGTTGAATAACATAACACTACCTGCATCACCTGGCTCTACGTAAAAAGAAAATGACTGGCAAACATGATCACATTCTGGCGTCGGTGCTACAATCCAGCTCTTGTTGCCCTGAAGTTGAGCTTGCCATACGAGGCGTGGAATATAATCTAACTAAAAATTAGAATTTTTTGTAAATAATTTCTGGTGGAATATACACAAAACTTGCATAACCTACATGCATGAAATCGCCCTGCTCGTATCCGATAAATATATAATCCGTATTTGGCATTTCAGCGTCGATAGGTAAAAAATGTGGACGTGGGTATAGTTTGCGAAGTTCTTCCAAAACGATTGGGTGGCAATTACTCCAGCCAACATACCATGGCGCTTGTCCGTTACTTAAATTAGAGCGCGCTTTAGACATGGAAAAGACATCACGTAAAGATTTGAAATCAGAGCGAAACTGCAGAAAGGGGCATAGTTCATCCACCGCACCAGGTATGCGTTCATACAAGTCCTTAAGGTATTCAAAGTTGAGCACCGTTTTAGCTTTCCAGTGTGCTACTGCATTTTTTATTATAATCGGCTGTGAGGAATAGGCATATGGTGCAAATTTTTCTCGCGTCAAATTTTGTAAAATTTTTGGACCTGAAACGTCTCTGCAAGAATTTTAATTAATATTAATTTTTAAGAAAATAAATAGTTAATTTCAATTACTTGCAAAAACCACAGTCGCTTATTGGACGTGTTGCTTCTGAAACAATATAATTATTGGGCAGAAAGCAACGTACTCCCAACAGGAAAGTAATCACTTCATAGAATAATGGCGTTAATACCATGATGAAGGTCAGTATTCCCAGCACATACCATAAATTAATTTTATTGGGATTGAGGTCAGCCTCGCGTGATTTTCTATAGGCTTCTTGCAGATCCGAAGTTGTTACCAAGCCGGTCCGAAGGGCGTCATCATGCAGCGCGTCTAATTTTCGAGCGAAATCTTCACCAAGGGCAGCCCGTGTCCGTTGGGCTGTTGAATTCGTATTACGCGCCGATGATCGGTTCCAAAACTGAAAAATACACCATTATTTTATTTAAAAGCCACAAGCTTTCTTTCAATTGCCAAAAACTCAGTAAATGGTCATTCAACAACACTACCGTCTGCCCTTTATACTTTTGAAGTTGAAAAGCTACATACCAAAAACATGTTGCACCCGGTAAGTGATTTGAACCAATCAGAATATTATAACTATATTTTAAATCAACATTTTGTTTATTAGTTTTGTTTAATCACGAAGCCAGAAAATGTAAACAATGGAGCACTCTAGTTATCTGCTCTCCGCACGAAAATGACAGTGAAACAGCTGATCCTGTCATCGGGGATGGGTGTCATTCGAATTAAAATCGATAAATTTATATTTGTATATCGGCTTTGTGCGGCAAAAAGCACATCGTCTACCAGTGCATATATTTTAAAAAGAGTAGGAATAAACTTTAATCGAATAATCCGAGATAATATTAGACTTTTGGAGCGTATGCAATGGTTTAGAGACTATAAAGTAGCAGTAGCAGTTAGTTGGTTAACAACGTTTTTTCAACTCATAAGTTTTAAAGTGGAATATTATTATATTATTAATTGGTATATTATTATTATTAATAATTGCTGAAACGAAAACCGAAATAGGCAATGCCTTCAAATCGGAAATGATTTTGAGTTTTCTTGCTTTGGAGTCTGAAATATAGTTCGATCGTATTTCAGAAATACATCGATTTGATTGCGAAAGGATTTTCGATCCAGAAATAACGATACGTTCATAAACTTCGCTCCGATTTGGACAGTTACTAGACGCTCATCCAGCCGAAATGAATGCCAGTACCTAATCGGGTAAATATCACAAATGCTCATCTTGCAATGTCATTACCTCGTCTATCGTATTTATTGGAACCAGGTGAATGCTCTCAAATCTTAATCCTTTATACATTTATTTATCTACATTTTACATTTTCCTACTTGGATTTCAACACATGCTCCCAATATCCATGCTTTACTTAATCACCGTTAATTTATACACATATATCAAATATAATGTTTTTTTAGAGCAAACAATTATTGCAATCAATAAAATTATTTGTATCGATAATCTTTGATCTCTTTCTACTTTAATGTAGATATGGCAACGTACTCGAAAATGCAACCATTTTTAAATAGCCCCAGCACCCCCTTCACTCATTTCAAGCACCTGATAACATTTTCGTAATCAACATTTTTTCTCTCCCCAGCTCCACTTCGTTCAGATCGGTTGACTGATGCGGTTTGGTGTGTTTTGGCTCGTTGACTCTTTGTGGATTGGAGCAGTTGCGTTCGAGGATTTCTACATCTCAGATTAATTAAGTTTTGCTACTGTGGCGTAAAGGTTTATACGCTGATAAGTTCGTTCATTTGTTTGACTTGAACCTTGAGCTGTACGTGCAAGATTTCATTCAGGATAAATAACATCACAGTGCTAGGTCATTGGCGACTGAAAAAACGCTTTCACTTTTAATAACGAAAAAAAATTACTGAAAATCAGTTGTATACTTATAAAAATTGATACAAGTGTTCAAAGATGACAAACGACAAGGAGAAGACGATACGTGTGGGCTCCAGAAAAAGTGAAGTAAGTCGAAAATTCCATTATACAAATGTGCAGTGCAAAATACATTACACCAGCTGAGTGAGGTGGTGAAGGTTATAATCATACAATACAAACTGCGGCAAAAAAAAGATATCACTAATACATAAGCACATACACAAATTAACTTTTAAAATTTTAACAACGAATCTGGTTATTTTTTGTTATTACAAGTTGTCGAGGGGTATGAAGTTGCACAGTTGTTTGGGTGCAGAGCAAACGTGCGGCGGGTGTAAAGCGGATATTGGTTTGTCGTGCTTATTTTTGGTTAAGTTATACAATCGCGCAACTCGCAACGTAAGAAAGAGCGGCGACAATAACGAAAACGAAAATCCACAAGTACCTATGTTTATACTCAGGGGCAAGAAACCAGAGCTGTGAGAATGAAGTTGTAGTATTCGATGCAGACAGCAAATATTAAGATTTCAACTTCTTTTCAATATGTGCAAAAGTTATGTGTACATATGTATATACATGGTGTTTGCATTTATTAAATGCGTACAGGCGAAAACAAGTACAAAAATGCTTGTATATTTCACTATTTCTTTTGGTAATGGAAGTCATTAAATCAACGAGAATGAATAGCATTATTCGATTTATGACCGCCTTGCATGCTTTCATACCTTTATACTTACCTACAGATATTTGTATGTAAATGGCTGTATCTGCTCGTTTTGCTATATTGGGTCCCTGTAACTATCAGTCGTGATGTCAAAACTGTCCGTTTGACTATGAATAATGAATATCAAATTAGAATTTCAAATAACTTTCGAGTGATAAGATTTCCATTTGGCTTGGGTAATTTAAATGAAAAGCCATTATTCTTCAATACGAGTTGAATGCAAAAAAAAAAGGAAAAATGTATTTGATGGACAACTCAATCGCTCGCATTGTAAAGTTATAAATTTATTAAAAGTTTTATAGAAGTTTTTTTTTTATACATAAAATTTAGAATCGAGTAGCCCAGTGTATTGAACAAACGCTTTCATTTTTTTTATAAATATGTGCGTATGTGTATAATTATTGACTAAATTCTATTGAAAAAAATGAAACTTTTAATAAAATTAAACAATTGATTTAATTTATATATATTTTTGTTTCTATATAATTTCAGTTAGCACTCATTCAGACAAAGCATGTCATTGCACGCTTACAAAAACTCTATCCCAAAAAGAAATTCGAGATCCGTAAGTAATCGTTCTTAACATGCAAATCGTATTGCTGAATTGCCGGAACTTTGTATTGTGTGTATAGCATGTATAGACATTAATATGCACATACATATGAGTTTGTATGTATGTATGTTTGTACATTCGTTAAAATATAATTTTAACAATTTTATAGTAGGTACAAGTATACGTTTTCGTAGCAATAAAAAAACATATATACAAACATACATACGTACAAATATGTTTATGACAAACCGGAAAACTCTTATTAGTAATAAAATGCGTTCAAAATGGAAAATCATATATTTTCACTTAAAGTGAAAGAGTGGGATATTTGTATGATGTCCAATTGAATATTAATTTATTATTAATTTTGTTTAAATCATTTTCCCACTAGTCAAATTGTGATTCATATAAAGTAGAAATCTAGTTGGTATTACACGAAAGGATGGTAATACCGCTGACCAAATATCATATTTTTTTTGTTAATTCTTTCGCCAGTTTTGCATATCAAGTGTAGTCAATATTTAGTATAAGGTGTAAGAAGATAACAATGCAATATGTGCTATATACATGCGTATATATGCATGTGTGTACAAAGTGCTATTATATTAGTTTTTTCTTGTTATCATAATTTTTTTTTGTGGAAAACTGTGCGAGTGCTACTTATAAAAGTTGATAATTTTTTTATTTACTATTTTTAAATAGCAATGATGACTAAACAAAAAATTATTAATAATTAATGAAAATACATAATTTTATTGCTTACCTTAACACCCGCGCTATCAGCGTGTAGATTTATATGATACAATTATTGGAGGCATTCTAGGTAAATAGGCAAGCACATGTTTGCAATTCTTACATACATATGTACATACATTTGTATGTATGCATGTGCTGATGATAATGCATAATTTTAATTTATAAGATAAGGTTATCACTTGCAGCATTTACATTGATGAAGGCAGCTGTAGCGCTTTTCATGACGTAATATTTTGAGATATGAAAGAATATAAATACAAATGTATTTATGTTGGTATGTACCTCATAAAACATGTATATACATATGTATGTATGTTCAAAATTTAATATTTAAATTATTTCGTTATTTTTTTTAAATGAAAATATTTATTTAAAATTAAATAATAAACATATTTACATACAAAATTACTTTCTCATGCAGATATAGTGCTTAATCAGTTGTTTTCCCCTTTCTTTTCTAAAATCATTTTCAGATACCATGTCTACAATAGGCGATCGTGTACTAAACATATCACTGCCGAAGATCGGTGAGAAAAGTCTGTTTACACGTGATCTCGAGGATGCGCTACGCAATGGTGGTGTCGATTTTGTGGTGCACTCTTTGAAGGATCTACCCACTGCGCTGCCTACAGGAATGGCAATTGGTGCTGTATTGGAGCGAGAAGATGCTAGAGACGCTTTGGTGTTGCGCGAAAATTACAAAGGCCATACCATTGAAACATTGCCAGAAGGAAGTGTGATAGGTATGCACAAAACAGTCATCAGTTAATTTGACTATATACACCTATCCCTATTGTATAAAATTTTTCTTTTCCTCGCAGGCACTTCTTCATTACGTCGCACCGCTCAAATACGCCGGCAGTATCCTAATCTCATAGTTTGCGATATACGTGGCAATCTGAATACACGTTTAGCCAAATTGGATGCATCGAATTCCAAATTTGCTGGCATAATACTCGCACAAGCTGGTCTTGTGCGTATGGGTTGGGAGAACCGCATCAGCCAAGTATTGGAACCAACTGATTTGCTTTACGCCGTTGGCCAAGGTGCATTGGCCGTTGAGTGTCGTGCCAATGATGAGGAGGTACTCTCCATGTTGCGTAGTTTAATGTGTTTGTCCACAACTTGTCGCATATTGGCCGAACGTAGTTTCCTTAAAACTTTAGGTGGCGGTTGTAGCGCACCTGTTGCTGTTTGGAGTAATCTCGACGGCGATTTAACTGAGGCAAATCAAAATAATTGCAAAAGTGCACTGTCATTAATAGGGGCGGTATGGAGTTTGGATGGCACAACGGAAATACGTGATAAGAAAGCATGCAACTTTATCGTGGAGGTAACGAAGAGGAAAGCGAATGATGACAATGCTAATTTGCTTGAGAACAACGAAGATGATGATAGTGGCGATCAACCGCCTACTAAACGACGGCGCAGCAATGATTCCAGCAGTCCGGAACTTCAACATAGCCCGCCAGTTATTAACGATGATGCTGAAGTGGAAAAGCTTACTGCCTCCTACAGTATGGGCGATATTATTGAGAAGCATATAAGTTTAGCCAAACATTGTCCCGTGATTAGCGCTGATTTACAAAAAATTGACGCTATCAACAACACGGATAATGGCAATGAAAATGTGGATTCTCGCGCTGGTGGCGATTCGAATATGAACAATCCACATTGTCCTTTAAAAATGAATGTGGGGCAAGATTTCATGGGTGAATGTCCATTCGTGAGTACAGAAGAGAAAATCGCATTGGCTACTGCTGGCAAATGTCCCGTTACCAATGAACTCATCCACAAGCAGAATGATGAAACTGACAATGCGATGCTTGCGGCAGTGCCATCTACCTCAAAATGCCCGTTCGCCAGCATGCATAGCAATGCAAATGGCAACGAATACTCAAGCAGCGCACCGGAAGCTGCAGCGGGCAAATGTCCGTTTCTACAAAAAACCGTAAAGATGTTCGATTATGCAGATGAGGAAAAGCCACAGCCAAAATCGGTGCCGGTGCTGATCGAAGATGTGGATAATCTTTACTGCGGTCTATATCAGCATTCGTGTTACAATCGCGAATTGTATATTCGTAGTAATGCCTTGGGTCAGCAACTGGCTGAGGAATTGATCAAAAAGGGTGCCTTAGATGTTATGCAGTGCGCACAAGCGGAAATACATAGCAAAGCATGAAAATAAATTGGATATATGAGGCAGTTGAATAGGGTCTCATATTTACACTACAAATTAGCAATATTATTAATTAAATTAGATTTTAGTTTAGTTTGCCGTCAAACCATGACTAGTACGATGTAAAACATCCATTCATTTTTGGTTAAACTACTTTTTCCTGCCACTAATTGGCGCTGAAAAAAAAATACTTTATCAGAGGTATAAAGTGGGTTTTAGCTACTTTTTCTGCTTGATTCATATTGTTAGATTGTTTATATTTATGTAATTATTTGCTGTGCGCTTATTAAGTGTAAATTCATTATTTATTCACGCATGCAAATTATATTTCAGAGCATAGAGAAAGGGAGCTAGCTATATAGCGGTGGCATGTTTTTTTGTTAAACATATCTATTACCTTTTACATATACACATGTATATCATTGATTGGAAAATTATATTGACCATTAAATAAAACTACTTTAATTGGAAAACATTTTCGATTTTTATTTATTATGTAATGTTATACATATTATATCGTACTAAAAGATAGTAAGAACTGTTAATAAAAATAAAATCATTATTACTTTGCATTGAAGATAAAGGCTATATTTCACTTGATGATGACCAAATTCACTTATTTTGCAAAGAAATATGTATGTATATGTTGAAAAGAGCGAATAAAATTTTTTTACTTAAAAATTCTAAAAAAAAAAATTAACAACCACTTTAATCAATTAAATCTGGGTGTTTCTCTTGCATATGCTGTTTCATTTTCGATGGCCTGTTAAAACGTTTCGGGCAGCCAGGATATTGACATTCCAATTTCGCATCCAGACATTTCTCACTAAACAAGTGCGCCTCGTATTTCTCCAAAGAATGGAATTGTGCGTCGCAATTTTGACATTTTTTGATTTCGTCACCACCATGTCGCTTATCCATATGCGAACGTAACTTCTCAACTGATGAAAATTGCTTGCCACACACCACGCAATACCCCTTCGCCTTTACTCCATTAGATTTAAAGCTTTTCGCCGGCGTTTGCTCTTCCTCGCTCTCTATAATTATGGACTTAATAGATCTTATTGGCGTAAAATCGCGTTTTTGTTTCTTGGGTCTTTGACTATAGCTAGCATCGGATTCTGCAGCTGTGTCGCTCATTGATGTCAAATCAATGCTATGTTTATTTGTAACATGTTGTCGCAACAATCTAAAGTGTTCATATGCTGCCGTACAATACGTGCACTTATATACTTCGCTATCATCAATGTCGTGTACATCGCTCAGATGCGCCTTGAACGATTTCTTTTTCTTGCTTTCAAAATCACAATATGAACATTGGAAAATCCACTCGGCAGTAGGGTTTTCACTGAAGCTTAATTGATTACGTGATCTTTTTTGTGGCACTTGGAATACATGCTCTTCTTCTTCCTCTTCTTCATTTCTTTGTTGTTCCTCATGGTTTGTGGTATCGAAATCGTGACCGTTCGTATTTATGCTATCATTTTGATGTACTATTACCATGTGTCTTTTAAGACCATTTGAATTATCTGCTTGATAAAGACATAGCTCACATCTTAGATCTTCTACTTCGTCTTCTGGCTCGATTTTAGGCACTAATATTTCCTCATCCGCCAAATTGTTTGATGAAACATCTGCGGCTATTGACTTGCGCCGTTGAGGTTTAGGTTTCTTTTCATGCTCATATGCAATGTGATTGTTTAGAGCGAATTGTCTGGCATATGTACTTGGACATTTTCGGCACTTGTAAATCCTGTTGTCCTCTACTTGGTGCTTGGATAACATGTGTCGTTTGAAAATTTTGGGTTGTACAGTTTTATAATTACATTGGGTGCATAAAAATTCATACGGCATATTTGGATCGTAGACTAGTAAACTATCGTTATTTGTATCAGCCACTGAAGTATCATTTCCTAATTGATTTTTTATAGTTGTGCTACTTAAAACATTCGGCGAATCAAAGGCAATTGTTTTACGTCGTTGACGTGTTGGACGTGGCTTATTTTCATGTACACAATCAATATGATTCTTAACGCCAATTTTCCGTTGATACGATTCGGTACAGTACATACATTTGTAAATGCGCGGATCCTCGTATTTATGCTTAGACTTTAAGTGGCTCTTGTACAGTGTTGGTTTAGTGGTGGTGTATTCACAATTAGGACAATAAAATGTCCAATCCATTGAATTTTTTTTCTTTGATGAATTGTCGCCATTAGTCTCTGCATTTTCATCTTCATCTTTATCTTTATTTATTTCTTGTCCATTTAATGATTTTTGCTCTCCTATAAAGTTTCTATTGTTTGGTAAAGCTTCTGAAAGACGTTTTAAAACGATTTCCGTTTGTAAAAGCGCCAATGAGCACTCCGTACAGATAAGAAATTTTGGTGGGAACTCCAGTGACTGTAAAAGAATGAGGCTAGTTATGAATTTTTATCAACTTACACTACACGCACTTACGTGATTACAAAACACAAACTTTATCACACTGGATAGTTGCGTGTCGAGTAATTTTTCTTCGGGATGAAAAAGTTTATCATTTTTACTTTTACACAGACTACAAGTTTTCATTTTGTCAAAAATAAAGAAATAAAAATTTCACTTTATCAAAAAGCGTGGAATATGTTATGCTGCTTCAGAGAACTTCTTCTTCTTTAAAACAAACGCTTAGTTGCCATGCATGTTTAATAAACGCTTACACCTTGGCACTGCTGGGCAGTATTGGTGAGTTTTTTAGTTCGGTGGCAACGTCTTTTACATAAGAGCTGGCAGCACTCACTTAATAGAAAACAAACGAAATAAATATAGAAATTCCATTCATAAATTGTAAACAATAATAGATAAAAAGCAAATTGTTGAATGAAATTGAGAAAAAACTCTATACACATAGAAATATTTAAGTAAAGGTAATCAGATAAATGATTCAAATTTTATTGCGCATACATAATTCGCAGTTAGTGAGCAAAACAAACGTAAAAAGCAATTGTTCAACAGGTATGAATTACCGGTGATAAAATAAAATTAGATAAACTAAAAAATGCAATAAATGTCTATCTTTAGAGCAAAGAATAATTTGAAACCGGCGCTTTAATTACATTAATAAAAACCCTCAGAATTATCTTAAGTAGGTGTGGCTACTGGTCTCCGAGTTTGGAAAAGAGAAAACCACCTGTTGAATGCCTACTATAGGAATACTAATTAGCGAGGAAGAAGAACCAAGTAAAATGGATGAGCAAAGAAACACGTTGTAGTAGGTCGCTTAGTAGGCAGTGTGCTTGAGATATTTATTTGTCTTATTAGAGGTAATGTTCGAATTGTTATTTATTATTTAATATAAAAACTAATCTCTTACAATCAATTCATCATAACATTTCTTTCTCATAAGTAAAAGTAACTCTTTTAGATAATTGCTATACATCAGAATACGTTTGGTAAGATTGGTCTCAGCTGGGTAATTAAGCTAAATTTTTATTATTTTTAGTTGGTGGAGTTATATGTATGTGGTGCTTCACTTTACAACTAAACATTTTTGTTCTTTTCTTACGAAAATACATATAGTTTTTATATTTTCAGCGGCAGATTATATATATTAAAAATAATTACGGCCGACAATATATACAAAAGAAATATGTTTGAACAAGATTCGGGTTTCGAGGATTTAATTGAATTCTGCATAGAACAGCAAGAACACAAAGAGCAATGCATTGCTTCTTCAGCACCCGAGGCATGTATCTCGCCACCGCGCATCCATAAACGAGGCAAAGGCCGCCCACCTAGACGTTACGATATAAAATTTGAATGTGATATATGTAATTATACAACTGTTTATGCCAAGCATTTTCGTACGCACATGTCAGTGTCTCATCAGGATGAACAACCACGCATTTTTAAATGTACTCAGTGCCCAGAAGCGTATGTAGAAGAACGTTTTCTACATGAACACACAAAGCACATACATGATTGTGTGCCGAGGCAACCGAAATTTATATGTGCAAAGTGTGGCAAAGGCTTTCCAAAGCAATCACATCTCAAGCGACATTCTTATGTACATGAACCAAATGAAAAACCATTTCTATGTGATTATTGCCCGAGCCGCTTTATAAATCTTTGCAGTTTAACACGACACATACAGAGTAAACATAATAAAAATAAAAAACATATGTGCTCCGATTGTGGTAAGGCTTTTGGTCATATTTACAGCCTAAAATCGCACAAAATACATATGCATAATAAAGAGGAAATATAAATTTAGACATATTTAAGCCTTTGACATGTCAGAGTTAACATTTTATGCATAGAAAATTTGGTTAAATAAACAAAAGAGAGAATGACAATAGAAAATGCTCAAATTATGTACGCGTATATACATATATATATTTACATATACATATATATATATTTACAATACATATGTAATAAGTTTAAGTATAAAAAATATAAAAGACTTATGCAGCAAACTTAGATCAAAAAAATTTCGCTATGCGGCTGATATTATAAACTTTCAATAATTTAAAACTACAACACAGTTTATACACTAGTTTTATTTTTAATTGAATTCTCTTAATTAACACTAAATTTATTATTGGATATTTATAAGCAACAAGCAAATTATATATACTAAGAATGTCAGCTTTAATTTAAATAGTAATATCTAATATTTCATTTAACTTTGTTATACACTTACGTTAAATTATTAAATAAGCAAAATATCATGATTAAAAATATACTGACCGTCCTCCAGCAATTTGCTAGCAAAATTTATATACATTTAATGCATAGGTTAATAAGACTAAAAAAAATCATTTTATAGCGATAATTTTATATAAATTCAGTTTTTCATGAAATATTTTTATAAATATTGTTAAGACTTTAATAAAATATTTTAATAAAAACCCTAAAAAACAAATTTTTTAGCTCATTTTATTACTTGGTTATTTATTTCACAAAGGGGAAGCTTTTAAGTTTTTAGGGATATTTGAAGAGAGTAGCATGTTGAAGAATAATCATCTGGTAAATCTCGATACTCTGCGTCCGATTTTCATTTTTCCGGAGTTAAAATATATTGCTGTTTCGTTCTGGAAATTTCGGAAATGTGTTCCTTAAAGCAATTTATCAAAATAAATTTTATTTCGTTTCTATGCTAAACGAAAAGTTGTTAACAGATTATAAATCGTTGAGCGATTATGTTAAGTCGTTAACAGATTATGTTAAATCGTTGATTATGTTAAGTCGTTAACAGATTGTGTTAAAACGTTAACAGATTATGTTAAATCGTTAACAGATTATGTTCAATCGTTAACAGATTCGTTAACAGATTATGTTCAATCGTTAACAGATTATGTTCAATCGTTAACAGATTATGTTCAATCGTTAACAGATTATGTTAAATCGTTAACAGATTGTGTTAAATCGTTAACAGATTATGTTAAATCGTTAACAGATTATGTTAAATCGTTCACAGATTATAAATCGTTGATAGATTATGTTATGTCGTTAACAAATTAGGCTAATTCGGTAGCAGACCATGTTAAATCGTTAACAGAATATGTTTAAGTGTTAACATATTATTTTAAATCATTAACAGATCATATGAAATCCTTATTAAACGTTGCAATCGAAGTGTGCTGTTAATATCATAGCAGGCTGCCATTTTAAAATTAACATTAACGATGAGTTTGTGCGGTTTCATCATTAACAATTTCATGTCGTTTCAATAACATGGCGCCCAAACGAAACGAAATCATTTCGTTGAGTTTATTCTTCATATCAATAGAGTGGTTTTAATAATGCATAGAAAATGCCGTTATTATAAAGTCATTTTGTTTTCATTTTAACCCAAATTTTTGTATCTGGCACGTGTTCTTTATAGATATTTAAAATTTTCCATTCAACTTTCTTTCGGTTTGTTTTTGCTATTTGTTACTCAACACAAGACGAGACGACGCGACGAAAAATCATCAGCATAAATTAACCTGAACAAATAAAATGAACCTCACTTCAAGGTACTTGAGCTCCAATTTGATGGATAATCTCAAGCAAACTGAATCATATAATAAACAGTATGGTATTTATTTAAGAAAAATTGACTGAACATACATACATTTGTATATGTGTATGTACGCTTGTATGTATGTATTGTGCTGTATAAATGCCTGTGTGTAATAATGATTTGTTAAAATCCTCACATTTCATTCATAAAAGTAACAAGAGAAAACGCTTATTAATTTCCAGCCATATTTGGCGCTGAAACTGCCACCCAAGAAATGCTCTGTGGCACTTGTGCAAACACAAACAAAAGACAACCCTGTGGGAAAAATATCGAATAATTCGAAATATGTTTTCGTCATTTTTTTTTTGTTAGTTACCCTGCTTAGGACACAGTAAAATTTGTTCAAGTTTCCGATATCGCCTAGTGGAAGACCCTGGAAACATGGTACTTCTAAAGGTTCACACCAGAGGACTAGGTTGTAAGGCAAGTTGGTTTAAGAGCACTAGAAAGGATATCTGTCGTCCAAATTCCTCGTGGCAGCTTGCTATATTTGACTTTCACATCACCGGATCTACCTGAGTTGGTCCAGATATTCCCATTCGGGTAAGGACTGCCACTCTGTGGCTTGAATGACTGGAACAGAAATGACACGTGGCTCCCTGCCGTTCCGAAGTCTTTAAGACCACCGTCAGGGCACATAAGTACTAAGCGCCGTTCCTGCCGCTCAACTGACGGAGAAACAAAAGGCCAGTCTTACTTAGGGCAAAGATAACGGAAGCCCACACCCCTCCAAAGCATCCAAGGGAAGGTTGGGCCCTTGAGTTTCACGCAAGGAATTGCTGTTTCTGTTGTTATTGATCGATACACCCCATTAATGGCCAAATAAAATATGTTCAAGTCTTCAATATCATCTAGTGGGAGACCGACAAATGGTATGTCGTCCGCTCTTCTCGAAGCAGCCCGTGATTTTAGACTTATGCAATAAAGGACGCACCGGTGTAGGCACAGAGTTTCCCATTCTTTAAAACAAGTAAATATTATGAATAACTCAGAGAGAAATCGGCCAAAGAGCAATAAAAATGCAATAGTTCTCGCGACAGTCCGAAAGAATACCTGTTTTTATGGGGCTATAGACTGTATTCTAGCAAACATTCTCCCAAAAATCACTTTGGGGGAACAATTCTGCGGTTACAACAACTAAACCAACAAGCATAAGCAGCAACAACAATTTGCTCAATGATGTAAAATAATAAAAGGAGCGGGTATAAGAAAATCTTTTAATGCATCGGATTACCAAGATGTTTTTTTCAAGTAGAGCTGACAAGTTGATTTTGACCGTAGACTCGCCTTAGAGTTACTCTTGGCATTAAAAATCTGGAGTTTATCAGAAACGGTAGACAACTACAGCAGATCACCTGTTAAGTAAGAAGTTCTCTCATACCCTGCAGGCTACTAATGAAGTTCCTTTCCACTTTTACTATCATGGAAAAGTCCATTTTAAAGAAGTCTTTTTCATCGCAGATCCTATTTCAAGATGTAAAAGCCTCGATTGTTGCAATATGACCAGTTTAATGTGGCTGACATGAGATAAAGGAAGGTATCGTGAGTTTTTCTCGTCAGAAAATGGGAGTTTCATACAGGAGATCTTTTTATTGGTAAGGCGTGTAGAAAGACTGCAGTTAGCCAGCACCTGAAATGAAAGCTCTAGTTACTTCCTATATGAATTCGCCAAACTTTAGAGGCTTGTTAGGAGCGACAACTTTAGTTACTTGAGCGCCGCTGTGGCTAAACTAGTAAATAGCCTCTAGGCATCTTCAGCGACATCACAATGCACGGGCTCAGTGGCCAAAGTCAGCAAGTGTCCAACAACAACTCAATCTAAGCGAGTTGATATGCTTCTCGTACAGCATGAACAGAGGTTGTATTGTACTTGGACCTACCATATTTGTGTATGTATATATCGGACTAAACGTCTTCAAAGCTGGAAATTTCCACTCCACCACAAAACTACTCAAAGGACGCTGAACCCGAGGAGTGGATGCAGGGGTCCATAGGTTTCTCGTTTTTCCCTACCTTCTTGGCGGAAATCGAATCGTGTTTGAGTCGGTTGGAAAGTACTCTGCCGCCAAAATGTTGGTCTTACTGCTCTGAGTAATTTAAGTAATGCCATGTATGGCTTCAGTAATTTCTAGGTTGGAGGCACGGCAAATGTTTGCCTCACTGGGTCGTCTTTGTAATCATGCAAAAGCAACGCAATATTTAACAGTAACTTTATTGTAAACCTGGCTAACAGCATGATTTGGTAACAAGCTGAAGTGTAGCACTGAAGGTTAACTATGCAAATGCAACGGCGGAGCAGTGAAGGGACGGCGAAAAGCAATACGGTAATCGAATTAAGTAAATAAACAATTTTGCATGAAAATGAAACCGAATGCTTGATTGTTGAAGTGTCACTTGAAGACGCTCAACGAATTGGATGAATCGTCGATAGGCTGGTAATGCGTAGGCAACGGACACAGAGGACAATCTATGGCTGATGTGTTCTTTTGTGCGTTGTTGTAAAGTTGAACAACGCCCGCTCGCTTGCTCTTCCTCCACAAACAACTCTTTAGTTTATTTTCCTGAGCTCTTGAAGGCCTACACATATTGACGCCTTCGATTGCTTTGCGCATCATTTTGCCTCTGTGGCGCGTAGGCGCGTATAATGAGCAGACGTATATATCAACAAATTGGAATATGAGTATTTATCATAATGTCTGCCCATTGGTATTAAGAGCGGCGCTAATGGTGTCGAAGTACTATTGAAATGGATCGTGCTGGACAGTTGGTGTGTTTCGAGCTGCGTCTGTGGTGGCTCATTTGAAGTGTGTTTATTTAGTAAATTATTGAATGCATCGTGACTTGTTATCAGCTGAGGCTTAACGGCAAACTGGATTTGGTTATTGTCAGGTATGTGAACAACTGTGTAGAGTAAGACGATTGGGCCTAAGACGCTTGTGAAGAGATTACAGAAATCTTGGTTATAGCACCGACAGCTTAGACTATCACTATAAATCTACACTTTCAAATAAATTCTTCCTTCAGCAGCCATAACTTGTAGACAAATTCGTCTAACTAGGATTCGAGGCCCTCACCGAGGTCAAGCTTATTCCAGACTATGATGAAGTGGATTACAACCAAGTGTCATTAACGTTAGGGCGCAATGAGGTACATTCTTCCAGAGGTGACCCTTTTTTTCAAATTAAAGACTACGGATCTGTAACTGATGGGGACCTCCTTATCAAGTATGTTGCTTGTTTTCATGCCCATTAGATAGTTTGCTGTCAGGGACATTCTACTGTATTCCTTTCGCCTTTCGGATACCGGTCCCCTTCATGCGTAATGAGGGCTTGGTGTGCAAAGAGGCTCTGTAGTCCGTCCTCCTTCCATTTTTTTGCCGTAAGGCCGTGTCTAATACCTGAACCTTACTTCGTCCTGAACCATGTCGATGTCGGCTTATTTCAAAGAGGCTACAAACTCTTGTTAAGAACAAGCCCCAAGATGGAAATCAACCTC